ACAAAGTTAACATTTTTCCATCTCTCAATGGGGAAGTTTGTTCGTTTACTAGGCTTCCTGTAATCCTGTAATGTACTTGTAGGTTAACGTTGAATTTGCATGTTTTGGAATTTCACATAAAACGCACGTTTACAGTTTCGTTTTAGATTTAGAAAGCAATTCTACTATATAAAACAGCACACAACTTAAATATTTTGGATACTGTAACCGCTTTAAATATTGAAATCAATGACATTTGTAACAGGGTCTAACACCGATCTATTTTGATAGGCGAACAGAAGTGAAATATAATGTACTGGCTGCTGAATCAACTGTGAAAAAAATGGGTCCATTGCAACGTTTCATTAGTTTTGCAAAGGTAAGTGCACAGTAAAATGTTTTGGATGAAAAGCACCAACTGCATAACAATTTGGAAAGATGAAGTGTTAATCATGGCTTCCAGAGAAGAATACGATGGACTGATGAATGACTTGCAATATTCACGGATATTACTGTTCCTTTCAATCCCATATTTCACAACAAAATTACTGACAGATTATTGACTTCAGTGAGATAACTTTCTTCTTTAATGATAAATTAAACTTTACACAGCTTTTGACAGCACGTGTGACAAAATAGGTAGGCCCCTACTCAAATCTGACGAAACGGGGTCACACACACATATTTTTTTATGATTTGAAGAACTTTTATCTTACTATTTCAACAAGTTTATTTTTCTAGAAGTTCTTTCTAGAAGTTCTTTCGAGGCTAGATACGAGACACTAAGGATCTTAAAATAAATGGATATTTTCGACAAGCTAGGTCTGCATGGTCAGAAGACTTTTCAAATGACACTTTTATTTAAATATTTTAATAAAGTATTGGGTGTTTTATTTAAGTTACGAGAAAAATAATGTATGGAGCAAATCAGTCGTAATCTGTTTTCGAAGTATTTTAAAAGACTGATGCTCAAGCTTATATTTAAAACTTTTGAATTTGTACTGATGGGTCCAAGTTTATCACTTTCAAATCTGTCTTAAACACGACAGTTTAGTTTCTATGGACGGCCATCAAGTAAAATAACTCAATGCCAATGCTTCGATCGCTTCTTGGCAAATGGTCTGAAAAAGATCATGCCTCGCCTTTCTTGAAAGTATGCACATACAACATGACCCTACAAAGTATAATGCAGTGATTTCGAAAAATCAGTGTTAGAAATTGGAGAATGGCCTTGCATGGATATTACTTTAACATTTAATCTTTGAGTTAACGTCTCTATTTGTAAAAAATATACTACTTCAACTTTTGTGTTGAGTAAACGCCACTATTTGTTAAAGTTTCCTTCTTGTCTTATTCACAGACATAACTTTTCTTTACTTTCAAGGTCATGTCAGTGTTTCCATCGACGTTGCATTTTGCCGTGGGACTGACCTCTATGTTATGCTCCGCTTTGTCATCTTGGTCATTCATCAAACAAGTCGGCATTGTGGAAGAGATGAGGAATTTATTTTTTAGTTTATTTCGGCTTCAGCTATTTGCTATTTATGTGGTCATTGCCATTTTTATATTTAAGTGGGCAACAGAATTAGATAGAATATTTGGTGCCAAGACGAATGTCTTTATTCTGCAGCGAAAAAGTTTCAAAAAGTTTTGCAACCGCGATTCTTGTTATATCATGGCAAAACTAGTCGGTGTTTCTGCAAGAAATACGTGGCCGTACCTCAAGTTCGCAGCACATTTGGAATCTATAATTGCACTTATGGCATGGTGTATATGTAGTTACAGGTATTTTCCAATAAGTATGAGTTTGGACGATTTGCCGGTGATGCTTGCTGAAAACTTCTCGGTCCACATTTCAGTTGGCATTTGTTTTCTGGATAGCTTCGATTATTACCAAAATTTTTTTAGCACCATTCTCATAAAAGGGAAATCAATTCTCGTTCTCACAAGGAATTTTCAAAGGGTTACCCTTAGCAGAATTCCATTCAAACTATTTTGTTTTCTGCAAGAATTTTATTTTTACCGACCATTCTTCGACCCAATTTTCATAAAAAGAAAAATTCGACACCTTGTCAGGTTTCATAGAAAAAAGAAAGCTAGTCGCAAAGGTAAAAAGAGGAGAGGTGCTGTAAATCGTAACGATGGCAAAGCAATGTTGGTCAACAAAGTCAAACCTGATGTAGCAAAGTTACCAAGGCAGCCTCCAAAAAAAGTGCCCGGTAAAACCACTGGAATAGGCCCAAATTCGCAGATAGAAAGGTCTAAATTTGATAAAAACAAAAACAGTTCTGGTGAAACAAACATGTCCACCGTTTTAACGAACAGTAGTGCCCCTGTGTTAAAATACCCAATTATGGAAAGCTGTGTTCCTGAAATTCAAGAGGACGAAAACTCAGAGGCTTCCCCTCATGTGGAAACTCCACCATACGTCTACCCCAGATTAGGCTTACAAGTTACGGGAAATCGGAGGACCAGAACATGCTCAGAGAGTACGTTCCATTTCCCAAATCGAGTGATAGGAATGTTTTTAGAATTTATTTCATTCCTATATTGTGTATTTCTGTCTTTACTGATGTTGAGAATGCTAACATCTAAGTGATCGGTTATTTTTCGTATAAATAATGTAAAACTATTTTATTATCAGTATATAAACCCTAAAATAAATTTGCATACATGTTTTCATTTAATCTGCATAAGATGTGGCGGCAATTTTAACAATAACAGCAAATTTTTCAGAAATATTACACTGTCCACATTTAAATAGTATTAATTACTTTTGTCCAATTTTAGCGAGTACCGCATCTTCCACAGAGAGTGCTTATAGCATCACTTCGGAAGGCCAATATCGAGGAATTACTCTGATCATTAACAATTGCCGTTATTTCCCAGCGACAAAAATGCACAATCGTTACGGCACAATGAAGGATGAAAGTAAGTATTCTAAATATCCGTGATAACATGTTTCTTTTCTTCTCAAGGTTGTATTTTACTATTAATTAATTAATTGTAGGAAAACGCATCGCACATATCACAAAGGAAAATTAAAGAGGCGCGTTGGGGAGGGTCTTCCAAATCTAAAAATTATTTTTGCTTTCAACACTCCCTCGTAACCTTTTTATACATGCTTATCTACCCATGCCGCCTGGGTGTGCATTTAAAAAATGTAAACTTCTTATTGTCTTTTCAGAGCACATAGAAGACGTGTTCAGTAAACTAAAATATAAGGTCATCAAGTTCAGAGACTATACTTGTTCTGACCTGAAACATCGTTTGAGACAGTTGGGGTCTAAAATGGAAGCTCATTACGACTCCTTTGTTTGCTTCGTGCTTTCGCACGGGGAAGACGGGTACGCATCCATTACTCTTTACTGCTTTTATATACATGTATATTCATGACAAAACATATTTCTAAGTTTATTTCCTTAAATTATTATTACAAAGCCAAATTTTTTTCTTTTTAACTGATTTGTCACGCGCATATAAAAGACGTGTAGTTCATGTTCATTTTATTTTTATGTCCCATCCTTTCAGTTATTTTTACACAGTGGACGGAGAGCGTATTTTTTTGGCTGATTTAATATCGTACTTCTATTCGAAGAATTGTCCACAGCTTGAAAATAAACCAAGGTTATTCGTCTCACAAATGTGTCTAGGTGGCGCAGAACTTAATGATGGTATGTACCGACGATAATGCCAACACTATGTAAGGGGAAGAGCACCGTTTTGAAAGCTATAGTATTCTAAAATTTAGCACAAGTGGTTTGTTTGCCGAATCAAAATAATATCATATCTCCAGCCATATTTAGTAGAAAATATATATGGTACTTAACAGTATTTCATAGTGACTTCTTTTCATTTACCTTTTGCAGATTAACCTTTTATGATAAGGGCGCGCTTTTGCAATTGCATGTTCAAGCTTTTAAAAAATAGTCGGTGATCAGATATTTCATAGTGACAAGGCAGAACACTCCAAACCTTACCAATATAAAAAAAATCTCAGGGAAATGCCTCGTCTTTCTCAACCAGGGTATGAACATGCACATAATTGATTTTACATTTCAGGTGGGAGTGCCGATAACACGGGAAAGGAAGCCGTTTCCAAAAGAACTAAATGTAGAAGTGCTATCATGAAAGATGCCGAAGGCGAAAAGGACTGTAAAAAATCATTAAGCACAGTCCCCGCCGCCCAAGAAGCAGATTTCTTGCTGGCGTTTGCAACTTTGCCGGGATGTGCAGCAAAAAGATATGCAGCTACAGGGTCCCCATTCATTAAAACGTTTTTAGGTTGTGTAAAAAAGTACTACAACCGTAAAGGTAGAACACGCAAATGTGTTACAGACATCCTGAAGTTAACTGGAAAAAGGCTAAAAAAGAAAGAGAACCAAGTACACTGCTCTTTTTTGAGCATTAACAAAGCATTTTATCTCACAATTCCTGCAATGAATTAACATATATAATGATATATCAGAATTTCCGAAACATCTAGAAAAATATTAGAGTGTTTTGTCCCCAATGTTCTTTAAAATAAGAACCTTGCTTTGGCCACGCTTTTTAATGACTGTTTATTTATTGTATTTATCTGACTGATAATGTGCGTTGTAACAAAGGAAAATCCATAAACGATATGGTATGCACAAAGTCCTCTTTCATAGTGCAGATCAAATTTACAGTATATAAGAATCCTCTGGTAAAAGAAGTAATGGCTAAGCTGGAACGTGCACGTGCTGCATCCATGTTTTTCTTACTTTTTTTGGAGGGGGTTGAAGAGAAATCTTTTACGAATTAGTAGTGAGTGATATTTGACTTATATGATTTTTGTTTATTTATTGCCTGGTAAAGAGAAGTTAAAGAGGTTAAATTTCAATACATTGAATAAAATGCTTCAAGTAAATGCCCTGAGTGTCAGGGACACTGTGAAGTTATTTTGTTAACTATTCAAACCTTTTCACGGGATGGCTTCACAGTACTGCTGAAGAACAGTGACAATATTGCGTATCCGTCAATCAAAAAGAACTGCTCCGCGGTGAATCTACAGTTGTATGTCATTAGTCCGAAATGAAACGTAAAACAAATTTAATTTTGCTTTATTTAATTTTATTTACTGTATATAAGATTTAAACTGAAAAATAAATAATATATTTTGAAAGAAAAAGATATACCAGATGTTTTTTTTTTGTATTTTTTGCCTATAAAAAAAAAAAAACATTTGCTTCTGGAGATATAAACACAAATTACACAAGGCGGGAAAGGCAACTCCAGGCGAGACTTATGACTTCCAAATATGGAGCTCCAGGCGGACATAGGTGTAACGTACGAGACTTGTGACTTCCAAATATGGAAGCGCCCCAGGCAAAATTCTGCCGAACACGCCCTTAGGTCGACGGTACTGGCTAGAGTCAGTTTTGCTAATGTGGGTTATATATGAAATCAAGAACGGGCTGGCAAAACTGAAATCTAGAACCTAGGGTACAAGTAAAAGACAAATACTCAGTTGATTAATCACTTTTTACGATGTTTCATCAAAGGCATCAGAAGGTAATCAGAAGGAACCACTTTTCAGAAAATTCTAATGCACCAATTTGTGCTACCCATTGTTGTGATTAAATAGCTGTGAAGTTGACTGTTCCGACAAAAAAGTCTCAATGAAAACTACAGGGTATGTTTTAGTTTTGTACCCCCATATGCTGCTGCTACTTAATCGAGTCGTATTAGCAAATTAAAGATGCATTTTATATTGAGCAAGTTGTCATGTCAAAACATTGTCTCTAAACCCGATCAGATGACATTATATCGTTTCAAATAGCATATCAAACACCAAGGGGCATCGTTTCAATCTTCCGAAACAATGAATATTAAACATGTTTTGTCTGCTTTATAAAAATATAACCTGTTTTCTACAATCCTCGTTTGAATAATTAAATTGTGCGCGCAACTGGTATGCGTAAAACATTATGTTACGCAATTTAATCGAAATGAGGGGGAGGGGGGGATTAAATAGGCCAATTTACGACCAGAAATTTGAAAAGGTGCAGTTTTAAAACTTTATTTTGGCATGTAAACTTTATGTGAATGGTAGTAATGATGTATATGCATTACAGGAAACCTATGCTCGCTTCATATGTAATTTTAAGTGGAGAGTACTCGTTAATCCTTTCTTTCATTCTATTTATTGTTTTGTGGATACACTTGATGCAGGGCCATGGGCGAGAACTTTATCTTCTTCTTTATCAAGTATCAATCTTTTCCTTTCCACTAGTCCATCAGCATTCTCTTACCCTGCATATTAGCGTCTAGATGAGTATCACAGGCTAATCTGCTCGTGCATGCATATTGTGGGCTTTCCACAGCCGCGCTCCCCCCTCCCACAAACACACACACAAACACAAACACACAGAGAGAGAGAGAGAGAGAGAGAGAGTGTGTGTGTGTGTGTGTGTGTGTGTGTGTGTGTGTGTGTGTGTGTGTAAGGGAGAGAGAATAGGTTTTTAATATTTTGCAAATATAATACATAATACATATATATATGTGTAACGGCCCAGCCCTATGGGCTTACAAAGTCACCGCTTTTAACAATTAAATGTATAAAATCTATATGGTACGTTGGTCCACGTTTTGCTAAAAATGAAACAAAAAGCCGTTAGCTTAAATTATATAAATCACGCGCATAGCAAAGCTACAAGTAGTTTTATCTTTTTGTTAACAAGGAGTGCCCTAATTTAGCCATTACAGTGTACCTGCGACTGCTTAACGTATGTCATATCCCTAATCTTTACATGACTTACAAACTTGTTCTGTTAAGCTGCCAAAAAGTCTACTAACAATGACTCATTTATTTTAATTAAAAAAACAACGAATAAAAGCATTTCAGTATCTAAAATGTATTATGCCAAAAGCTGTTTAGAACTGATGTTTTTATTGTTTCAATAAGTATACCATACACTTCAAAATAAAGTTTATCTGATCAATTCTAAAGAAAATTTCTCCTATTAGTAGGCTAACGGTGATAAGCCAAGGTTTCATCTTTGATCTTGTTTAAATACCTTAAGAAACGAAAAACGCTCCTGATGATATATTCAAAACAGTCTGCACAGTATCGGTGCATGTCCACAGTGACAGGCACTGGTCTCTGTAACACCAAACCACAGAAGCTACGGATAAATTTTCGATTTAAATCAGCTTCGGGGAACAAATCAAAGCTGTAACCAGGTGGACCTCAAACGCCATTTGCTTTTATCAAAGGGTTCGATTTTCTAACAACCTGTACATTTTATTCTTGAACATTCAATCCCCCCCCCCCCCCCCGGCCCTAAATGTGTAAAAGGTACTTTTAGAGTTAAAGCACTTTTATTGTCATTCATATATTTGGCTGAAATGATACCCCTCATTTATTTTCTTTTCCTTATTAGCGGGTAAAATCCTTGACTTACCACAAAACTTGATTTAAAAAAATTTTCACGTCACTCACGTCTTATACCCCCATGTACCTCCAGCCTAATACATCATTCGAAGTCACAACTTCCGGCACAATCGATCTTTTTCGAAATCCTTTCTTCCTACAGACCCCGGTGTACAATAAGTTTGTAACAGACTATTCGCGCACCCTGTGGTCAGAGAGTACTGTCAGCACCTGACAAGTCCGATAAGCACTATATATACTGATAGATCCTTGGGTAATGTGAGGACAGGTCAAAACATTTTTCTTGTATATGCACATACACATAAAGCAAAAGTAAATGAAACTGTGTAGAATTAAGGACGTGGATATCTAAGTCCTCGGTATAATCTAGGACTTGTTTAATGGGCCCTAACACCCCATTTCCATAGATTAGATCGACCTACTTTAGATCGACCTAACTCCCTGGGGGTTCACGCTAAATAGCTGTCAGCCGGGCGGACACGAAAGTTAATTACCCCCTTACAGCCTGTAGTAGGCGGGACGGACATTTAAGTTGGATTATCTGAAAGTAATCTAGTGAGACTCCCCGCGGGGATAGATCGATCTAAAATCTATGGGAATAGAGCCTAAGTCTTAGGTAGGATTCATGTGCATGTACCCTCATATATCGACTTTATCAGTGTTCTAAACTGGCATAGATTATGATGTAAATAAAAATATATTATAACTTTAAGGAGTTTTTATAGCTATGCATGCAAATAGAGCAAAGTTTTGCTATTAATTCACACTTTTCTTTGTAATTTATCCTTAAAAAATGCAGATATTTTCCCAAAAGGTCAACAAAACATTAAAGGGCAGACTTTTTCCTATAATCTGTATGAAATCTAGATAATTAAAATAACACACTAACAAATGGAGCCCACCTTTAATTTAACATTCCTTTAGTAAATGTTACTAAATCAATCTACAGTACATGTACATGCCTTTTCTTTAAACATGAAACATCTTTAAAAGTATCATCCTCAGATGTATTTTACAAATCACAGGTAATGAAATACAACTATATCTCATTTGCCACACCTGTAGGTATCATAATATGTGCCTTGATCCTTGGACATAATAACGAATTATTATGTCCAAGCTTGATCTAAGACATCACCTGCACATGCCATACAAACAAACTGGCAGCTTGGCCAATTAACTTGGTCAATTAACTTGTCCATTATGCTGTTAACAATGCAAAGACACCATAAAGAATGGGCCCAGCCAGGGCGTAATTAACATGGGGTCTGGGCTTTTTGTGCATAGGACTAGATTTGGTCCGAGCTTTTGACATATAGGCCTACACGGGGCAGAAAAGTAGGTCACGTACGTAGGTTAAATTTCTGACCAAAAATTTAAAGATAGGAGCAGTCTAAAGGTAGCTCTTTTATGGCTGATCGGGTGATTTATTCAGTTTATTCCTTGGCATGTCGACTTTTTTTAGTCGTATAAGAAACTAGTAGAAGTGGTTTATATGTGTTAGGCCACACTTTTTTATTTTTATGGATGACATCCTCTGGGGACCCCGAAATCGGTGCGAGAGGGCGAAAAAAAAAAAAAAAAAACAGTCCAAAAAAAAAAATGTTGCTTAAGTAAAGGAATGCTGTCAGTACACAGCTGGAAACAAAAACTAACCACAGAAACACGTATCAAACTAACAATATGTCTTTATCCATGCTCTCAAAATATTAAAGCATTGTGAATACTTCGTAGAAAGGTAAAAAAAGTCATGAATAAATGGGCCCGTAGCCAGGGGGTTCGAAAGAACCACCCCTTTTGCTGGGAAAAGGTCCGATCTAGATACATTAAGTTTTTATGGAAAATGGTCCACTTTTTCAAATTTTGAAATTGATGGCTACGGGCCTGATAGACATGCTGCATATATTACCCAATCTATTTAAGGTAATTTCATGCATTTTGTTGGTATAACAATCAATAAAACAAATATCAAACAAACAGCATGTCTTTATTTGTACTCTCAGAATATTAAAGCATTATGAACACTACACAGAAATGTTACAAAATGATGCAAAGATATGCTTAATACTACCAAACCTATAAAAGGTCATTTCGGTCGATGCCATTTGGTCTACTTCGACTCACACGAAGCAGCCAAACTGTCGGGTGGCCTGACCGACCAACAACCCACCAAATACCTCGACGCCCTGTAGACCCTTTTTTCGCTACAAAAAAACCTGGTGTGCTGCTTTGGACCTAAGATCTAATAAACGGAAAGATTGGACAGCGGCATTTTCCTTTTGACCAGACGTTCGTACGGGTAAACATTGCTCTATTGTTCCCCTTAAGTTGTTTTGATAGCCGGGCTTAATTTTAATCCCCATTGTCAGCACTAGATCATATACGGCAGCGGGACGGAAGTGAGTATTCCAACATGGCGGCCCCCAGCGCCGCCGCAATCGGCAATCCTCGGCTCATGGTATATTAGATCTGAGATTTGGACAGAATGTCACTGAAATTTTCCGGGCGATAATTGCTGGCCGCTAATTGTAAAAAAAGTGGATATCTCCATGCCCAATATCAATTGCATAACAATCCAAAACGACGGCCCCGTTCTCTTTATATAATAATATATGATATAATTAATTGTCCTGTAATTTGAAAGTAATCCTAGAGATGAATTTGATGGCACAGCGGCCATATTTCCACGTGGCAGTTATACGCATGCGCAGAAAGCTCATTTTCCTGCAAATTCAATAACGACGTTTGCGACAACCGACTTCGATGGGGGGGGGGGGGGGGGGGGGGGGGTTGGATTGATTTATTTATTTATTTATTTTGGAGAATGGACGAAAATCGGTGGACGGGCAGGATGTCATCTATAAAAATAAAAAA